ATTCAAGAAGGAATAATTAAAACAGAGTATGTGAAGACAACAGACCAGCAAGCAGACATTCTAACAAAAGCTTTGGGAGTTCAACAACATGAATATTTGAGTTCCAAGTTGGGGTTAATCAATATCTTTAACCACCAACTTAAGGGGGAGTGTTAGTTTTTTGTTATTTGATTAGTTAGGCTGTTGATAATTAGTTAGATTGCTGTTGTTAATTAGTTAGATTGTTAGTTAGGCTTGTAACGGTTGGTGGGCTGTATATAAAGGATTTAGTCTTGTAAACTTTATTTTATATATAATGAATGAGATGGAGCACGTTTTAATTACACCTCTTTTAACAGTAAATGGGTCTCCTACGAAAGAATTTAGAATGAGTAGGGGCCTCCATCAAGGATATCCACTTTCACCGTTCCTCTTAATAATTGTAACGGGGCCATTACACTTGTTAGTTATAAAAACAGAAAGCGAAGGAGTTGTTGAAGGAATAGGGAGCGTGATTCCCTCCTATTCATTCTCACATATGTAGTTTGCAGACTACACTATTATTCTTGAAGCATGAAATGTAGTATATGCTGGATATGAAAATAAATATTGAAGTGTTTCGAAGTCTGCTCTGGCTTGAGCATCAATTTTAGCAAGTCATGTCTAGTTGGTGCGGGTATGGACATTTCGGAAGTGGAGGCGTTAGCAAAAGTATGCGGATGTAAAGTGGAATCTACCACTTTCTCGCACCATGGCATTCCATTAGGTGCGGACCCACTCTCGCTGTGTTGCAACTTGGGATCGAACTATTGAAAAATGCAGATCCTTATTATTTGCTGGAAGGGTAACCGTAATAAACACAGTGTTATCAGCTCTCCCACTATATTACATGTCTCTGTTCGAGGTTACTATATCGGTGATTCAAAAGATCAGAAGAGGTTTTTTGCGGGGCAGTATCGATGGTAAAAGGAAGATTGCTAAGGTGAGTTGGAGAAGAGTGTGTCTATCTTGCAAAAAAGGTGGAGCGGGTGTTGTCGATTTGCAAGCTAAAAAAGAGGCTTTATTAGCTAAATGGGGGTGGCGTTTTGGAAAGGAAAGAAACACGTTATGAAGGAGAGTTGTGGTTGAGAAATATGGTGGCTCGTCTGATAGGGAGTTGATAAAAGTCTCTAACTTGAAGAAAATGTCAATCTTGTGGTGAGGTATTGTGAACGATCAAATGAAACCTTCGGTTAGTAGGTGGATGAACCATGACTCCTTTCGCTGAAAGGTGGGTGACAGTCGTCTGATTGTTTTCTGGGTGGACTCTTGGTGTCATGAAGGCCCTCTAAGATGTTTCTTTCCGAGATTATATAGGCTGGAAGCCAATAAAAGAGCAACACTTGCTGAAGTAGTTCCTTCTTTGGGGGTAAAAGGTGTTAATTTGAAAGATTTATTCTGGAGAGATCTCTTAGACAGAGAAATCCCGCTTTTGGAGAAGCTTAAAGAGTTTTTACAGGGAGTGAATTTAATTTAGGGCAAAGTAGATACAATAGAATGGTGCCATAACAAATGAGGTCAATTTCCGTTAAAAGGCTATCGCAACTTATTGTTGATGACAATGTAGCAGATCCAGACTATAAATTTTCCAAAATATGGAAGCTTAAGGTGCCCCCTTAAAGCTTTCTATAGTTGCTACTTTTAAATAGAATTCGATCAAAATCGTTTTTGCGGGATCGAGGGGTGTGCTTGGATGAGTTGGACTCTGGTTGCGGATGCTGCGAGTCGAGTAGAGAGGATTCTGATCATATTTTTGTTAGTTGCCCGTTTATGGTGCAATATTAGATGTCATTTTCTTTTTGGTGGAGGTTTAAGTGGACTACTCCTGAGAGTATAAACTCATATTTAAATCTTGTCTTTTCGTTGAACATAGGTGGCGAGACCAGAGATGTTTGGTTGATGTCACTGGTGTTGCACTCTGGTCGATATGGTTAGCGAGGAACGATTTGGTTTTTAATGGTAAGCGAATTCTGTTGAAAGACTTAGTGTTCTCCTTCAGGTTGCGTGCTTTGGTTTGGATTAAGGCCTTGAAGAATAATTTGTTTGTTAACGAAAACCTGTGGGGGGAGAATCCCTTAGAAAGCTTAGCAAATATCTCAAATCTTTGGTTGACTCATAGTTTGTTAGGTGATCACTAGGTTGTCTTTCAAGTAGCTGGCGTGTCTAGAAAAGGAAGAGGTGGCTGTAGGGGGTTCTTCGTTTCCCTTCAGGCGTGCTCAGGGTATTTTTCTCAGATACTGTTCAGGATACAATGCTGATTTAACAACTATGGTAAGCGTTAAGTTAGCTTTAGAAGTGTTTGAAGAAGAGGGGTGGTTGGGAGTAGCATCTTTATTGGTTGAACTTCATTCGCCTATTGTTGTGCGATGGCTTCGTAACCCCGTTAGTCGCCCTTTGAAATGGTGGCCGATCTTTATGAAAATTGACGAACGTGTTAACATTCTAAAGTTGGTCGAGTTTTCTGTTGTTACGATATCCGAATCTTCAGTTGGAGGCTGGTTAGCTTCCGATGGGGTATTGAGGTCATCTGAATTTAAAGGGTGGTGGTGAGAGGGATGAGAATCTGGTGTATGGTGGAGGTTTTGTGAATTGCATTTGGCGTGGTGGTTTGCATTGTGTGGTTTGCTCTTCTTGGTAGCTTATTTGTCGTGGCGGTAGTATTCTTGGAAACATTCTGTGCGGTTCAGCCCCCTGGAGATTAATTATTCTTGTGTCTCGCTCTTATTGCTTTTGGATTCCTGGTGTTCTACCAGAAATCAGAGTCCATGTCTCGGCGATGTTGTTTGCTAATGGTTGTAGTTTTATTGCCCAAATAGTATGTACTCTTTTCCTCCGTTTAAGATTTGGGAGATTTTTAACGATGCATACAATTTAACTCGATTCAGATAATTTAATAAAATGTCTTCTGCCAAGCAAAAAAAAAAAAGTTTATATCTGAACATTATTTTATTGATTTTTTTTCTAACTTAATTAGCCTTAAACTTTGAAAGCATCACATCCATTAATCTAAAAACTTAATTAAAATCTTTAACCTATTTGTCCCTTGAATTTTGCCTATACATATAAATACAGAGATTTAATTTTGTTAAAATTTCATTGAAGTGTCACTTTTATTGATATTGTTTTACTTCGTTCTGGACTTGAAAACTATCGCATACATTAATATAAAAACTCAACTCTGTTAAATTTTTATTGTCACGTCACCTCCAACCATCCAATTGATGTACATGTTCGTTTTTAAAAGACGTTGAATCAATAGGGTTAGAGGTGACATGACACCAAAATTTTAACATAGTTAAGTTTTTTTTGTTATTAATGTATGTGACCTTTTTAATTTTATGTACTAATTAGGTATCTAAAGTCAAATGAGTCCAAAAATTGTTCAGGATCAACTAGGTATCTAAGGCTAAGTTCAAGTACTAACTAAATGCCTAATTTTAAGTGGAAGCCCCAAATAAATTCAAAAAAGTTCTAGACCAACTTAGTACTTAAGCAAAGTTTAGGGGACAAAACTTGCATTAACCCACTAAATTAAAAAGGGGCTTTTTGAATTTGGTCGATATGTACAATGAATCTGATGAGATTGCACGGCATTGCCAACTCTAATCTTCATAATTTTATAGAACTTTTTTTGACAATAATTTTATAGAACTTGTTAACTAATACAATGTTTTGCTAGCTTAATTGTTGTCAATGCATCTTGTCTTTTACGTTAAATTTGTCAACTCTTTACAGAGTAAACACTAATTAATTTAGGGAAAATTAAACCACAAGTAACTCGATCTTAGTAAGATTAAAATTTAGTCCTTCAATTTTTAAAAGTTCACTCGATTAATCGATTGCTAGGAACGTATTATTGAAATGTTAATTATTAGAAGACTTTTTAACGTGAAATATTTTATTCATTAAAAATATTAGATTTCAAAGAGTTACAATCAATTCACAATTGATTCTAACAACCAAATCACCCAACTAATAGATTGTAACAATCATGTCATGTGCTACTAAATAAGAAAATCATTAAAAGAATATTTATAACATCTTTTGATGTCTGTTTCATTTTTAACAACTTTTTAAATGGATCAAGGATGAAAAAAAGCCTTTGAACTTAAAATAATATATTCAAGTCCTGAATTTTTTTAATTGAATTGAGCTCTTTATACAAAAAAATTAAATCAATTAAACCATGCCAACAGAAAAAAATTATATCAATTATACTCTTTGATTAATTGTTATCGTTTAATCTTAGTACCAATTTAGGGTTAACACTACCATGTGACAGCACCATCATGTGGCGTTGTCACATGACATTTTCATAATTATTTTTAATTTTTATGTTTAATCTAAAAATGATATTATTGTTGCCATTTGTTTACTACACTTTGACATTGCAGAGGTGTAGGAAAAGCTGGGCCTCTGATGAGGTTATCTACACGTAGAGATTATTACGTCAAACATCCAACCCTCGAAAATATTCGGATCTACAAGTTGACTTTGATCAAGAGTTTCTTTGAATCTTCAAGCAATTTGTTTTCAATCATGTGCTTGTGAAGTCTTCACGATATTCCGTTCCCATTGTTAAACAGCTGATGATTAAGATAATAATTTGACTTTCGCATGCAGAGTTAACTCAAGATTAAGTTCACACCGCAAAAGGTTGTGATAGGGAGGTTTAACTGGGTTGCTCTTGTTGAACCCGTAAATTGTGGATCATCATAATCTTAATACTTAAACTTCCATTAATGCTAATTTAATATTGTTTTACTGATGAGTTTATACCTTGGGTCTGATGGCATTATATAAAGAGCTAGTAATGGTTGTTATTCTGCAGTAATCAGAAGCCTAGTTCTCTCAAGCAACATTCGTTTTGGAGCTAGAGAATATGAAGGTGAGTAATTCATTAAAGAAAAGAATGTAATATCGTTTCTCATTTTTTGAACAAAAATGTTGGGAAATCTGATTGTTTAATTTTCGTTTTGAATATGCAGCAAAAGATAGTTATTAAAGTGTCGATGCACTGCAGAAAATTCCGAAGAAAGGCATTACAGGTAGCTGCTGTTGCATATGGTATGTTTTTAACATTAACCTTTCCAAAATCAACTTGACATTATTAGCCAGAATTCAAGAAAAAAAATTGGTATGGGGTGTTGGAGAAATTATTTTCTAAATTAGGATGAAATGAATAGTGGACGAGGATGACGTTCGGACCACCTGACGTTTTTTGGAAAGACGTTGGGAAGACAAGCAAACATCTTCCCCAAGACGCCAGTTAATTTGATCGTCTTCCCCATACACTGTTTATTTCACCTTAGTTGAGAAAATAATTTCTCATATGAATCATTTTTTCCACCACACTATTTAAGGAAATTTGTTCTAAGCAAAAACATAATTAATAGATTTGATGGATTGGCAGGGGTGACATCGGTGGCATTACATGGACCGGAAAAGGATAAGCTGATGATATTGGGTGATGGGGTTGATGCGGCATGCTTGACCGAGGCATTGAGGAAGAAGCTTTGTCATGCAAGCGTTGAGCAAGTTGAACAAGTGAAAGATCCCGAACCTTCCAAACCAGACAAATCTCCAAAGTTACCGATTCTATGCTGTCAACCACCCCAGGTTGAATATTATAGAGTGGTGCCTGATCCAACTCCAGCTCCTTGTACTATTATGTGAAACTAAAATGACACCATTGTCTCCAATAAAGTCATGTTAGCAGTTGTAACTCCAACTATTGACCTGCTTTTTCAGTCATTTTTACCTCCTCTTTAGAATACCAATAGGTGATTGTCTATGTTACATGTTTGGTAACAATCAAGTATTTATTTCGATTCTTGACGATATAATTTTCTTTAAATGAAGATAATTCATGTCTGATATTTGAATCTAATACATGTATCTATTATAGCTTCAGAGAATGATCTTTGGAAATCACCAAGCCTCCGCAAAAGGAAATCGTTAACACTCCATCAATAAGGTCTTCAAACAGACTTCTCTGCTTACCAAAGTTACCAAGGAATCACATCCATAGGTTATAAATCTTCGAACTAACTACAACACATAGACAAAACATCTGATAGATCTACAAGTTCGATCAAAATGAAATATAAGATCTGATTGTCAGATTTATTTAGCCTTTTCAGTTACAAATAGGCATAATAACCCAACGCCTCACACCGTAAGCTAAGAACCGCTATAAATACCTCCAACTAAGACTGACAAAGGGGTCGCAGCTTTCAATTTTTAGAGACCATTTTTCTCCTTCATCTTCTTCTTTTTGCTTATGATTGACTCTCTCTCACAGAGAAAAACAAGTTAACAATCATTCTCTCGTTAATCTTGGCTTACAGCCTAAAGTAGAAGGGTGAACCGCCAACAGTTGATGAGACCAACTTGTTACTATAAACAATTGGAACGTTGAGCGTGGAGAAACCTCACGGCCGAGAGAATCAGCCAAGATATCTATCAAAAACCAAAACAATCATCCTCGTTTTCCCTAAAAACCAAAACAACAATCTTCATCTCCTTTCTTTCTCCTAAAGTCTACGTAAATGCACTTGGCTTCTCTGGCCAGTTTATTGGCAAAAATCAGAAAAATATAAGACGAGAAGAAGAGAGGTGAAAGATGTCATAACGGCTTTTGGGATCGGACTTGGGTTTTGAAATGTTATAAAAAAAAATACGGGAGACATCATCAACCTCTTTGGGTTAAGTAGGTTAAATACCTAAAAATATCTTTAAAAGAAATTTTAAGAAAAATATTTTAAAAGACAAAGCAGGTCTGTGTATACCCATAAATTCATCTTGAAAAGAGTTTGGGAGTTGATTACGCATCAGGAATGATGAGCATCCCACAACGCCCAAAATTAGTACTTAATTGATTATATGTTGCTTCTAATAATGAAAATTATGAATTCAAATACAGATTTAAATTATGCTCTTCTTATTCTCAAACAAACAAATATGTGTTACTTTATTAATGGGAATTCTAAAGAGAAAAAAATAATATTCTATTATTTCAAATTGAAGAAAAAATAATCCCTTAAATATATTGAATGAGTGTTTATCTCTTTCTAAATAGAATAAAAGGAATATAATAATTTCTCCTAAAGAATTATGTTTAAAACACTTAATCAAGCAAAATCATAATGACGATTTCAACAAGTTACGTAAAAACATAAAGGATAAAAAAAATTCTCTATAATCATTCTCAACAAGATGGATTTCTAAGACATTCAACCTCTTGCCTAGCTAAATCTTGACTTAGCATCTCATACTTCATAGTAGATCTATTAAAAAAATTCACAAGCTTTCACAAAAGTTATTCTACTAAAAATGAACACATACCCAATAAAAGAAGTTTATCGATGCATTATCTGGTACATAATCATAATACAATTTTTCGATAAACTATAATCACTAAGTTATTATACAATTTTTAGTTTCTCAAGAAAATGCTTAAGATTTCTTTCAATATCCAATATTGGATTGTGGGTATTTTGTGGATGCCGAATCAAGTATAAAAACTCTGAGAAATTTTTAACATTCAAACATTATTTACATTAACTCTTTATCATTTTATTATAAGAGAGTTATTTCAGGATTCATTTTAATACTAAAACTTTTCTATGTAAAAAGATTTATACTCAAATATGGACTTTTTTTTATCAGTTTTAGTGATCTTTAACACTAGGATTTCACATATATCATCAATAAATTCTAGATTAAGAGGATTAAAATTCACTTAATTTCACACAATTTAAAGTATCATACTCATACATATAATTTATGAATGTATATACTTCATAACACAATGCATGAAATAATAATTCATTTTAGACAATCCCACATTCTATAACTTTTATATGCTACAGAATTATTTTCAATTACCCTCTCTAACCTTGAGGTGTCTTAATGAATATCATAAAAGACATGTAAATAATATTGTCCTTCAATTTAAATCGAATAAATTATAGTAAATTCAAATTAATTTTAAACATAAAATTATAACCATGTCTATATTTCTCAAAGTCTTAAAATACTAATTTGTATGAATGCTTTCAAATTATAAAACTCCAAAAAAAATATTTGTCATTTGTGACTTCGTCTTTTAAAAGAAAATTTCAGTATTTTTTTTCTAATTCTTCAATGATGAATTAATAATTAGAAATATTATGGATAAACAATCTCCTCTTTCCTCAATTCTAAGAGAATGATAATGAAAATTTAATAGATATAAATATTTTTAGCAGCATTATTGTCTATAATTTATTCATACATATTAGTAAAACGTTGACCTTAAAGAGACCATTGACAATTCAACTATTATGACTGAAAATTTTATATTAATAAGATTATCAAATTTTATTTTTTTAACCTCTTGTCTAAGATACATAGTATGAAATAGTGAGCATATAAACGAACAATACACCAAGTAAGTCTTTAAAAAAAGATGTGATGCATTAAACACGCTCAAATACAAAGTTTTTCCCAGAACCAATCCTAGACATGCACTCTTACTCTATCACACTACCTTTCAATTAAGCGTATATAAAAATATGCTTAATATGTTTGAAAACATACGAATTTTCGTTCTCAACCAGATTGGGTCACAGTTCATCCAACGCCCAAATAACCACCTGCTTGTTGCTGCTTTGACTATCAATTATCTATTTTCCAAGACTAGTCATGGCATTGAAAGCCATAACATTAAATATATATATGTGAATATGATCATTTTAACCTCAAATTTGGAGGTCACCCTCGAGCTCTTGGACATTGAATAACTAAAACTGCTATGTGAACTTCAAATTCGGAGGTCGTATAATCTCGAAAGTAGGCATTGCCCCCAAGGATCTAACACAACTTTCCAAGTATCGTACACCTAAAATAAGGAAATAAAACTCGCATGAAATTGCTCTTTTCGACGATAAAGAAAAAGAGAACTGCAAAGTTCAAAAAGAAATTGGCAAATAGTGAAATATAATTTGATATTTAAAAGGAAAAAGATAAGAGGTAAATCAATAATAAATAAAGGTAATTATCATAAAATTTTAATCACTTTCCAATATCTCCCATATATAGAAAAAAATCTAAAAGATAATTTATTTTTATTTAATTATTTGCATTATCCAACATTACCATCAAAGGTATCTTTTATAAGTTTTCAAAAAAAAAATTATGTAATACTATTGAATACATCTATATTCAACAATATCGTTTATTTCAGGATTTTGCTTAGAATTAGACCTCTTAAATTTGATTTTATCTCAATTAATCGAATTGATTTATTCAATTTAAGATTTGATATGAATTCGAATATAATAATTTAATTTGTTTAAAATTCAAAACAAGTCAAATTGAACTAAAATTGATTTAAATTTTAACTTAAGCTATATAGTCTTGTATCTAATATAACTCGAATTAAAAGTAATTCAAACTGAAAATAATCTGAATTTAATTTATCAAAATTCAATTTGAATTGAATATAAATCCAATTTTATCCAAGTAATTGAATCAAAGTAAACATAAAATTTATATTATTATTTATTTTTTTAGAAATATGATAAATAGTAAAATAATAAATTTATATATTATTCTAATTATTTATTTGATTTGAATTTGAATTTGATTTATTTAATTTATTAATCAAACATCTAAGCTTAAAAATAATAATTTTACGTGTACCCAAAAGGAAATTTCGTGAAAAAGTTGTACAAAATTTAAAATTTATTCTGTTTTTATTCAGGATAGAGCCAAAAAAATAATTTAAATGTATTGATATGTCGAAAAATCAATTAAAATAGATCAAACTCTTATTTTAAAAGATAATTAAGATCATTATAAAGATATTTTTATCGTTTTATATTTTTTATATAAAATTTTAATAAACTAGTTAAAGATCAGTAGTTGAGATTAGGGGTTGACTCGACCTGGTAAAAACTCAATAAAAACTTAACTCGAGTTGACTCGACTAGAGATCTTAATGAGACGAGTCGAGCAAAGTCCAACTCAACTCAATAAGATCGCGAGCAGTTTGTTAATTTTTTTTATAACTTTTTAATAGTTATCTTAAAAAATTATTTTATTAAAAATATTAATTTACTAATAGATAATAAAAAATATAAACAAATAATCTATTATTTTTTAATAAATAATAAAAAATACTAGATTATTAATTAATATTTATTATTTTACTACACCCAAAAAGAAAATTCTATTTTTACGGATTGTTAAATTAGAGTTTAGACGTTTAATTTATTTCATACATTTTTTTATTCTTTAGTTAAATTTATCAATTTATGTTTATATTAAGCTTTATATAGCATTAGTATATTTTACCTATGGTTAAAAATAAGATAAAAGTTTTGATGAGCTTAACGAGTAACAAGGCGGGCAACGAGCACGAGTCGAGCAACAAGTTTTTTTAACGAGCAAGAGTTGAGCAAAATTTTAATGAGCTTTGTTAGAACCAAACCATAAATAAAGTTGTAATCAAACCAGATCTAATCATGTCAAACCATCAAGAATAAAATAAATACTAGAAAAGCAGAAGCGTACCTGAATTAATTGATAGGTTGAAATCCTTATAGAGTTCCCTTAAGTATAAACTCTCTAACGGGATAAAAGTAATTACGAGATTGTATATTTCTTGGTGACCATAACCCCTTTATATAACTGATTTAAGTAAATACGAGAGTGTCTATTTCTTGAGACCATAACCCTTTATATAACTGATTTAAAAATCAGTTATTGTCTTTACTTATAACTCTACCCCTCATCAAATTATAAATACAACTTTAATAGTATCTATACTTTTATTTCCATGACACTTCTATTACCTTGTGACTTTGTAACATAATTGGTCACTTAATTTATGTCATATTTTATTATAACAATATGCATTATAAATATGTATTCATAATTATGGATTTTAATCCAATAAGCTTAATGAACGAGTCGAGTCAAGCAATAACATTTTTTAAAGAGCACGAATCGAGCACATCAACTCGCTCGATAAGCACCTCTAGTTGAGATACCGACACAAAACTAGTAAATTTATGTAAAAATCTTCCACTACACCTATAATTATCTATTGATGTAATTTTCATAAATTCACATAAAATGTTTTTATGTATATTGATGGTGTAAGAAATTCTTATTAAAACCAATTTAATTAGTTTTTTTTATTCAATAGTCTGAAGCAGTAAGCCGATCATCTAGATAAATCAGTAATAATTAAAATATGACGAGGTTTTAAAGAAAATTAAAATAAAAAAATAAAAAGAAATTGTAGGAAAAAAGAATCCCAACATTGAATCGATTTGGATAGGTTTGTATATTTCAGTTGAATTTAAATGATTGGTTTATCAAAGCACTGAATTCTCACTTCAACCCATCAGATTTTTATGACCGAACTACCTAAATTTGTCTTGCCATTTAAGAGTTGTTGATATGGACTTAAGTCATTACAACCACAAACACAAAATTTAACATTCCAAACCCCCAAAGTACACTAAAACACACGAGTTGTTCACACCTTTTTTCTAAACCAAAAATTTGCAAGGCAATAATTTTAACAATGATTTGCTTTCAACATAAATTCTCAACCTAGAACCAGAGGTTTTTCTCCCTACTTGAATTTTGTAATGAACAAAAAATTTGGTTCCTGCAAATCTTCAAGCCGATCGGATCCATCCGTTCAACTCCGATGGAAACCAGCCGGTGCAGAAGAATTTACGACATACCACAATGATCTGTGGAATCAAAAAGCAAATCTTGATGCGTTTCAAGTATTCCACAAACAAAAAAGAAGCATGCAACTCGGACACAGTTAAACACCGAGACCAAGAGGGACTAAACAACCCAACTCAAGAAACATCTTTCTCCACCTAAACTAGATTTAAAAATTATAACCAACTAAAGGAGCAAAGTTAGACTTAAAAGTTCCAATGTACCAACCTCCCAAACAATTACTTGTGTATCATCAGTTTTGTTGGACTTGTCGGTGTATTAGCGTTATCCAATTGGCATAACCAGTGGTACCACCCATCTGGTCCTCGATAAGATTAACAAGCAGCAGTAAACCTTCCCTGGGTTGTTCACCTTGTCTTACGAGATAAGGAAGTTGATAATATGAAGGGTCACTCTCTCTTAGTTTCTTCAATATCTTCATCAGCCTTCTCGACATTTCGTTATCATGCTCGGTAAGTGTCACCTGATTTTAAACAGACAACATTAAGAACCAGTTAAGTACAACCTCATCACAGGGCATGCCAAGGCATGGTCAAAGGAACAGTCAAGTAGATTAACATCAAATAACATTATTATGGCCAGAATTTGAAACAAATAGTGTATATGTTGAATGCCAACAATGATATCAAGCTTCCTTTACACATTAAATGGTCACTGGAACGGAACAAGCATATAATGTTCAACAAACTTGAAACTATATGAACATAGCTTCATCAACAAGAGATCATACCCTTGATAATTCGGCTGCAAAGTCTGGTCCGAGTAAATTCTTCGCTATATCGGGTGAAACCATTCTACCAAACCAAATAACAAAGCGAAAACCATCATCGTATATATATAGGCCTCTTGAATCTAGGTTTTCTGAAACCAAAGGCAACCTCTTCATGATGTTTTTGAAATCATCAGCTTGAGCAGATGGCTGCAAATACAAGACAGAAGTGATGTTCAGTTTGCATCCTCAACAGCCTTATTGAAATATTTTAACGGTTTAAAATCTTTCACCTTCAAAAGATACTCATCAATTCGAATCAAGCTGGGGTATAAAAGCTTCAATAACTTTTTAACAGGTAATGCCATCATCGTGAAACCTGCTGCACAGCGTTCATCAAGCTGCACATCCGCGTATCCTCCTTTTAGAGGTACGGATTTAAAGAGTGCTAATCCATACAAACATAAGAACTTTAGAGACTCTGGATAAATCATCCTAGCTCCCAACCGATGCTGCACAGAATATAGATTGCGATATTCCCTGAGTGCTTTTACGAGCATTAGTTGCAAAGAATTTCTAGCATCTTCAAGTTTACCAGTCAAAGTTTTCTCAATTGCTGCAAATCTCAGTTGGTTAGAAAATATAAGAATCCACTGAAACTAATATCCACAAAACAAATAGCATCTCTTGCGAAGGGGATTTTGGTTAAGTTTACCTAATCTAGAAAACAAAGAAAAAATGGCACCAGTGTCAGCCTGGCGGTACATCTCCCCCAGATCAGTAACAACAGGGGCAGCCGCTGTATATACTCTGATACGCCTCTCTCCACAAGATGCAGTATATCTTTAAATTATTAAAGAAACATCAATAACATATATCCTTTTCCAATTATAAAAGTACCAGTTTCACAAAACAAGGGAATAACCAAATAAACTAAAACTGATATAATAATCGAGCCACTTGAAGGATACAATAAAGCAACTTGGAAATATACTGTTTGAGTTGTCAGCAGTGTCTCCTCAAGGGATAACTGCATTGCATATGCTTTATCACAGTCCACCGTTGGAAGTGCTAGTAAATCTGTGGACCTCAGCATAAAGTTGCCATGATAAGATGTAAACCGAATCCCTGCAGCGAAGTAAAAAATAACATGAATCAATTACTTTGTTATCATAAAGTCATGGGGAAATAAAGCAAAAGTTACAATAAAGATTAACAGCATTTTAAATAAGAATTTGCCCACGTCAGCATATAGATGGAAGGGAAAAAATCAAGTAGCTAACCCAACTACATTGGGATTATGGCTTAATAGCATCTACTTGCATGTAGATAAAACAAAAAACAAAAAGAATCCGCAGACCTTTTCCGCATCTGATGCGCATAACTGCTTCCCAGGCTGTTTCCCTAGTGAGATCTCTGGCTAACTCATGCCTCAGCTTATCTCCATGAATGCCTGATCGAAAGCTTGGATAGTAATATACTTGACCTCCAGTATATTTTGCCAGGGTTCCTACATTGACATTCATAAAAGAGACGTCAAGTATCACTAAAAGCTCTTCTAAACATCTGCATCATCTATATAAAAAAGAGCAGTGTTTTTTTCACCTAACGAAGCTATGTCAGTGTATTTGTCACTGAAGGCATAAATATTAACCCCTATCTGGTACTTTGTAAGATCAGCAGCCATTTGCTTGTAGAAGGGATCTTCTGGTAATCTTAATATATGCTCCTCATCAGTTCCATACACTCGAAGATCATCCCCACGCAACTTCAAACGCCCAACTCCCAGGGAAGGCAGTGAGTTCTGGAATATTAGCAGCTTTCCCCCAAGTTGACTCTGTAGTAAATAGGTGGTCAAACAACCAATATACAGGACAAACATCAGCAAGAAACTAAAAAGAATGTTATCATTGGTAAAGGCTAACAGAAGAAATGGTGGAGAAAATAACATGCCATAACCATTCTTTTAAAAAAAAAAGGAAAAATAAAACATACCATAACCATGAATGCTGCCTTAAGTGCAGGACCAAAAGCAGATTCCACATTCACATTGTCCTGAAACATGGAGGGCAAACTATCCAGGAATGTTTCAACCACATTTCTAGATTCAGAAAAGTTAACAAGGAGATCATCTGGCAATGGCACAAATATATCATCCAAATCTGAAACCACCATCATTTGAGGCTGTGTAAGAGATGACTGCAAAGACAAAAAAAACACATAAGTTATACAGGACGTACTTGAATAAAATGGAGAGAAATCTCATCAAATAAAAACATTGCCACTGATCTAAGAAATCACTTGCCTTCATATTGTAAAAGTGGACGGTACTATCATAAGTAATGAATCCAATTTGTGTTCTGGGGAAGCCAGGCAGCTCATCCAAACATGAGCGTATAGTTTCAGCAACAACCTAACAGACATGTTGTAATTCAACACAAACCATTAAATGAATAAACAATGTATGGAGAAAAATAGTAGAGATGAGCAGAAAGGCCTATCAAGGTACATGTTATCACCAGAATTTAATCAACCATGATAAGAAAATGCTTAGAACGACCAGGATGAACACTTGCACAATCAGCTAAATAAGTGTTACTATGTCCAACAAACCCCATAATAAAGCAGCGAGGCTAACCATATTTCTCTCTATAGATTCAATGGCAAGGCAAAAGATTCTTGCAAACCTCACTTTATAAACTTATTTGAGGTACTCTTTGTAGACTTGAGTGTTTGTTTTCCTAGTCAGGTTCTCTGTGCTCTTGGTGATCATTGATCATTGTATTTATAATAAAATCTGAGGTACTCTTTTCCTCCTTCCAATGTTCATTGAGATACTCTTCTGTATTTCGATGAATATGAAGGGGGTTTTAATGAGACCTCCCGTTCTTATAAAAAATAAAATAAATAAAAAAACTTATTTGAGACCAAGTTCTGGCAAAGCCCAACCATCTATCACTTTCAAATCATATAAAATACATGAGATAGACACTAGATAACCCAAGCTAGCATTTTACACAGAATATCTGAACAAATATTGAGCACCAGTAGCTGATCAGAAAAAGAGAAGTCTCTTCTTAATTCACGTTACGATTATAAAACTGCCTCTATAAATCACTGTTGGAATAACACAATGTTTTATTACAACACATTATACTAAATAATTAACTGCTTTGAAGGAAATGCTTACCTCAATCATACCACTTCTTACTGCAGATATTGAAACATCAATGAGAAAAAAGTACAGTGGCGGCATTGGAGGCCGCACCATGTATTCAGTTGGTGCAACAAATTCCACACTGCCTTTTATAAGTTCGGGCCGCTGATCCAAATCAATTCTTCTTCCAGTGGCATCCAAGTTAGCAAAATACTCACCAGGAACTGAAATAGAAGTTGAATCAAATACACATATGCTTTGTAATTCTAACTATTAAAGAGATCGACCCAGGAAAGAAAACAAATTGGACACAATAGAAGAATAAACAGAAATTACATTCCCAATAAAGAACAGTTAGTTAACATATTATGTGAAACCCCACACCACACCTATCATTAACTCAAAAGTGCAAAATGCATTTTTCACTTTACCAGTAAATTGAGAAAGTTAAAAGTGTAAAGCAAGGAACGATGCCCATAACAATCAAGCTTGCAGAAGACCGATATATTTTACTGCAAGTCTATACGAGTGAGTAACGACATCATTTCCCTCCAACAATATTTGACATTCCAAAATGCAGATAAAACACAAAAAGAATGTACAGCATGGAAAATGATGCCATAAACATGTCACAACTAGAAATACTTGATGGAATTCATTGCACTTTCAATCATTCAATTATATCTTTTCTTCCGATGTCAAATGAGTTTACCATCATTTAGTAAAGAACAAATGTTGCACCGCCACTTTCTTCCAGCATCTGTAAATGTTACATAGGGGTTCACATAAGTGCGGCATCTTCTACAACGAATAATACCGGTTGAAGCGAAATTAATTACTGGTACTTCCTCCTGAACATAAAACAACAATAATTAACAGGAAAAAAACATGCCTTCAAGAAAATACAGTAACTAAACACCTAGAAGTAAATCATTATTGATTCTTGATATACTTACCCCTTCAGGAGCCTCTGCAAGAGGACAAACAACTGCTCCAAGAGGCAAATGCCACCTTGCAACTAAAGACTGGGAATTTGGTATAGCAGCTGTAGTAAGCCGTAGGTATCTTGGATCGCAATTCATGGGATACATCTCAAGAAAAGAACTTGGCACCACATCACCATCCAACGGCCTAGGAAGTGATCTATTATCAAGTCCTGGATCATTTGTTCCAGGAATAGATTGAACAGAGAGTGAACTAAAATCTTCTGTCAATCTTTGGACACCGCCAGTAGGAGGTGCAGAGCCTGGATGTTGCATTTGGTCTCTTGATTGATAGCCCAAGGTAGCTGATACTGGTGGAGGACCATAACTTCCCTGCTGACTAGGAAAGGGAGAAGGCGATGCAGGTGGAGGCATAAAACTTCCTTGCTGGGCAGGAAATGGTGACGGCGCTTGTGAAACTGCAGGCTGCTTGCTTGGATATCCAGGAAAAGGTGGCTGGAAATTGGGTCTAGGCCCTGATAACGATGAATCAGTTGGAGGTTGTGGAACATTCATACTGGATGGAGGAAAATTTGCATTTTGTGGCGGAGATCCCATTGGCACAGGCAGTACTTGTGTCTGTGGTCGAAAAAAAGGTGGTGGCACTGATATTTGACCTGCAGGAGGTTGAAATGGTGGCTGCCCCATGGGTGGTGCACGATTAGGGGGTGCTTGGGCAGCTGAAGGAAATGGTGGTGTTGGAAATCGCTGATAAGGTGCCCCAGAAGGTGGGACAGATGCTATGGGTGCAGAAGGAACTGATGGATCACTAAAACGAACGGGCGGGCTAGGTCCAGCTGCTGAGAAAGGCGTCATAGTCGGGGGTGCACCAGGTGGAATAGGTCTAAAATTGCTGCTTTCTGATCCTGTTCCAGGACCAGATGGCGAAAAAGGTCTTACAGTTGGAGGAGCGGAAGCAAAAGGGGTAAAGGAAGGTCTCATGGGAAAATTTGGTCGACCAGGGTTTTCAGTCCCCATTCTTATTAGTAATATGACTACGTTTGTTATTAATAGGCACTCTCACAACTCTGCCTGCTAGGAAAAGTAATACACAATAGTGAGCATTCACAAAAGAAAATAATGAAAGACCAGTAAATTTCAGATGAATAACCCAGAAAAAGGATAAAATTTTCCAAACATCACCAATTATTCTTATCAAGAATCAAGCAGCACTAATACGCACCTAGAAAAACTAAATATTTCAAACTCACTTTGTTCTTAACATTCGCATACTCATTAATTCCATGCATACAACAAAAAGCGGGAAAACAGTATAACAGTCTCCACGAGTATACAGCAAAATTTAACTAAGAATACCGCTGAGTAAACCTGCACTCCTTTTGGCCACACACAACCCCCAAAAAAGATATAAAAAAATTAACCAAATCCTAGAGTCTAAAGCAAAAGTGCTCTATAAAAAGCATAGTCCGAGTTCATAAATTAACTTCCAAATAGAAAATACCTAAAACATGATTATTTAAAGATCACATATAACATAATTGAACTCGAAAAGTGCTTGGTTGCTTTATTTTATCAAAACTTTCAGTTTTAAGCATTCAATATTTGCATCATAACTGTAATACACAGTTTAACAATCCAAAAAGCCTTCCTGAACACGCTAGAACAATCAAAATTCAATTCAATTCCAACAATTTCTCACAAAATCCAGCTCCTTCAATTCAATATGCTAATCCAAATTCAAACAAAAAACAGTTGAGATTCAATTTATAATCATCCCTGACTGAATTCCAATCAACTAATCCAAAATTTAATTTCCTTTACACAAACTTAGCTTCATCTTTGAATACAAAGTATTATTTCTCGAAACCTTTCCCAAAACAATAAAAAGCTACAAAAATAAGACTAACCGGCGTCGCTTTCAGAGGCGTACACCTTCAGTGGCAGGCCATCGAAGATCTACAAGATGATTTTCAAGAAACTGAGGATCAAATTAAAACCGAAGGGGTCGTAAAGGTATTTGTGGAAGGCGAGATCTAAAGAGAGAAGAGAAGTTGCTTTAGAAATTGCAGATCGGCAAGAGAAAGGAAGTAAAAAAATAAAATAATAAAAAGACAGTAATTTTACGTCGTTTTTATCTTTCTTTCTTGTTTCATGAAGTCGTTTTGGACAAGCTGAATTTTATGGGGTAAACTACATGGATGTCACTTATATTTTTAGTCTATTTTATTTTGGTTATAAATTTTAAAATATTAACATTATGATTACTATATGTTCGTGTTATAATATTTTGATCATGGGTTGTTAGCTCATGTTATCCTATTAACATAAATTTGACTCGACAAATTAAAAAATTCAAAAAAAAAATCTATGTAACATCCAATTACAATTCATGTAGATTTAAAAGAAATGTTGATTGCATTATTTTCTCGAAACACCATTTATCTATTTATTTAATTTGATAAAATGAATTTAGATTAACTTGAAAAGAGAAACAATTATTGAGGATTTTACGATTCAATGAATAAGGAAAAATAAAGAAGGTTCGTTTTATTCTTTCCAAGTTCAGTTTAAATAAAAAAGAATTTTTTGAGTGAAAATTAGAGGGGTTAAAATTTGCATTACTTGGAATAATTAAAATAGTTATTATTTATTAAAGTTAGAGGAGTTGGGGTTGTAAGTAGAGTATTGATTAGGATTTTAAAAATTAGGGTTTTGAAAACGACTAATAGATTTGTTGAGATTTGTAAGGCTTTAAATATTAATCGAAATAAACTAAAATGGGGTGAATTTATCCTTAAAATTTTTGGATATGGAGTAAAGAAAGATAGACAATTTGTACAATGATTTATAGCAGTTCAACTTCCTCAATGAAATATGAATACACTACTTTAGCTCTACACCAAGGATTTCTATCAAATTCACTATTTCTCTAGTTTTTCAAAAGCTAAACTAGAACCACTTCCCTTTTACAAAAAATAAATAATGTAAACAAGAAATACCTCTAAAAGTAGGTGTTTACAATATTTGAACTCACAAGAATGAATCCTAAAGATTGCCAATTAAGCTCAAAACACTATGTACCATAGTAAATGAAAATAAAGAGGAATTTTCTCTTGATCTTGATTGATTGGATAGGTGTTGTAACCTTCTTCTAGTGTTCATGTGTTGTTTTTATAAGTTGAAATGAGGTTGTAGTTGTTGGGATTGTCCGTTGGGAAATTAATTTGTTGCAAAATAAAACTACCCAAAACAAGGAATGTCGGTACTGCCATTAGGAGTATTGATGTTTCCTTTATAATATTTAAATAAACTAGCCGTTAGAGACCAATGGACTTGACCAGTACCGATACTAGGGTTTGTGGTATCGATACTACTATGTACAATAATATAAATACTCATATGAGTATCGATACCAATTTTGCTTACTGGAATTTGAACAACTTGAAAAATAATAGGTAGTATCGATACTACCATTAGAGTATCGATACTGCAAAAATAATATTGGTACTATTCATACAATATCGACACTGTAAGAACAAAATTGATACTACTTACCCAAAAAATTGTTTTGTGTTCAAATTCAAGTTTTATGAACTTTAAATTATTTTTGAAAACTTTGAATAAATTCAATCAAGTTCAAAAACATTTTTCCCTAAATTGTTATATTAAAAGACATGGTTCAGCAATCTCCCATTTTTGATATAACAAAACATTTGAAAAATGGTTCTTGGCAAAACTCTCCCTTAATAAAACATTTCATGATGAAGAGTAATATTTTGGAAATATTTTTGAAAATATTTAAGCTCGCCCATTTTCATTTTTGAAATTGAAAATTTCAAACCTGTATACTTCTCCCTCTAAAAAATAATTCAATTTTTTAGGTTCAAAATAACAATGAAATGTAACGCCCCAAATTTCGGGTTAGTAGTTTTAGGTTATCCGAGAGGTAAACGGACCACGTGAAGTATGCTATTAAAGTCGATGAGCCAATGGTGTGATTTTACCCTTGTTGAAAAGGTGAGAGCCTTTTTATTTTCTTCATCTTCTCCTTTTTATTTTTTTATTCCTCAGTTCCTTCTCTTCATTTTTCTCTAAGGGTCATAGTTGAAGGTGAGTCTTTTGAGCCATTTTATACTTCTTCCAAGCTTCAATTCCGTCCCTAATCCCTTTAGCAACTTTGTTTTAATGATTTAAAGCCTTGTGTTCTTTGTTAGCAAGACAATTTGGGGGTTTATCATCCAAGTCTTGGAGGAGTGTGGTAGCTAGCTAAAGGAGCTTCATTTCAAGATTCTTAAACCAAGGTAGTGTATTTCTATTCATTTGTTGTGTTATGAACTTCCTAAACATGATGCTTTGTTGGGAATTTGGGTGTTTGAGCATATTTGGGGGTTTTGCTTGATTCATGCTTAGATTATGTTTTTTATAGTACTAATAGACTTTAAATAACTCATCTAAAATTTAGAACATATTTTGGGACCAAACTAGGGCTTTTGAAAGGATTTTTGAGTGTTTCTTGAGCCTATTTATGGGTTTTCTAGGTTATAGCATCAATATTGGATTAATAGTATCAATACTGGATGAACTGGATGTTTTCTAGGCATTTTATGCAGGGAGTATCGATACTTTAAAGAGCAGTATCGATATTGCAACCTTAGTATCAATACTGAGGGTGACAATATCGATATAGGGATTAAATTTTACAATCCAGTAGCTGTTCTTGGTACCGATACTCAAAAGAGTATCTACATTTAGAGTATCAATACTACTCATTTCGAATGGTTAGACTTTACTTCGTTAAAGTCTGTAAGAGTTAAGGATGACCCATATGGAGTGACTTAAAAGGTGCCTAGTGTTGAATTAAGATTTTGATATAACAATAATTTGTAAAATTGATTTTGGACTTAATTAAATTTGTCAAAATTTTATCAAAAATAATTCAAAGTCCAAATTAACTTGAATTTTTAAATGTTTTCCAACTTAGTAGAACCTTTTTAAAAACACACTCGATCATTTTTACGCTTTAAAGTTAAGTTTCCAAGAATTTTTGGCTCAAAGGACCAATCCCTTTGACCAAAGAATCTAACCCCTTGAAAAAAGATTGATCCCTTGGATTCCGATGTGTTTGGGATTGATCCATTTACAGAAAGGATCGACCCCTTTACCAAAAGGATCGATCTCTCAATGAAAAGAATCAATCCCTTTCTTACAACGATCGAATCATTTGAAAAATGATTGCTTACTTTCACCAAAGGATTGATCGCTTATACATTAAATGTTGTTTTTGGTTGTAGGTAACGGCTATAATGACCCCCAACGGCTTCAAATGACTAAAATTGATGGAGAAGGTATAAATTGAAGGTCAAAGCATCATAAGGTCAACAAGATTCATATTGAACGAACCTACCAACATGAAAGTTTTATTTTGTGCTTAATTTGTCAAATTCTTTATTGTAAAACACACTACTGAGCTACATTGTTTATTTTGCTTAAGTGTGTATTGGGTGAGTGCTTAATTAGTAGAAACATATTTTCCTTGTAAGATTTTCTCTTTTTGTTTACAAAATTTTATTTACTCTTTGGGAGAGTATGTACTCAAGGTTTTGGGGTATAAACCTTAAAGTGTTTGTAAGGTTACACCTTGTCCTTAAAGGTAAGAAAATCTAGTGGATTTAAAAAATCTTTAGTGTGGATTCTAAGGTAGTAGATGTAGACTTGGTTTAGAATTCGAACCACTTTAAATCGTTGTGCAAAAAGCTCGATTTTTTTATTGCTTCCACCAAACTTTTTAAAATGCCAATTCAACCAATCTTGGCATATTTTGGTTGTTAGTAAGAGCTAACAATTGGTATCAGAGTTGGTCTCTATCGACGGTTTAACAACCTTGAGAAGGTCCTTGGAGAGCTCTATCAATTTATTCAATCAACAGATAAAGATGGCTTCAACCTCCGGCTCCTACTACATTGAAGATTCTCAATCGATCAAAAAGCCACTTTATTTCAATGGAGCAAATTATGCCTATTGGAAGAATAAGATGATGATATTCATTCAAGAAAGTGATCTAGAGGATTGGGAATATATAATGAAAGGTCACTCGACTCCAACCAATGAGATGAAAGATTGGAGTGAAGAAGAGATGAAGAAGTTCCAACAAAATGACAAGGCCATGCATATTTATATTTTGTGCATTAGGCTCGGATGAATATAAAAGAGTCTCCTCTTGTTCAAATTCCATGGAGATTTAGGTGAAACTATAAGTCACTCATGAAAGAACCAATGAAGTAAGGGAAACAAAAATCGGTCTTCTCAACCATAGCTATAAAAATTTCAAGATGAAACCGAGTGAAGAAACTAAAACTATGACAGATATATTTTTTGTGATTATCAATGGTCTCAAGGGATATGGAGAAATCATCCCTAATGAAAAGCTTGTGAGTAAGATGACTTACTCTCTTCCAAAGTCTTGGTCATCAAATAAGATGACGATAATCGAAGAAAAAAACCTAAAGTGTCTCAATCTTGATGAGCTTTTTGGTTACTTGCTCACTTATGAGTTGACAGTGAAAGAGGAGGAGCAAGAAAAAAAAAGAAAGAGAAAAATAAAAAAGGATGTTGGCATTACTCTTAAGTCCACAATGAAGTTAAAGAAGATTCTAGTGAAGATGTGGATGAAGAAGATGAAAAGATGGCCAAGCTCTTCAAGAGATTCATGTCATCCAAAGAAAAAGAGAGAAAGCATGAATTGAAGAAGGAGAAAGATCCTATCGTATGCTTTCCAAAAATAGGGACACATCAAGTATGCTTATCCTCAGTAAAAGAAGAAATGATTTAACAAGCCAAAGAAAAACCCTTTTGTGGCTACATGGAGTGATAAAGACGTCACATATGATGAAAATGATAAAGTAGCCAACCTTTGCCTTATGGCCATCCAAGAAGATTCAAAGGTATCTTCTAGCTCATCCAATTCAAATTCTTATATATTTGATGAGTTACAAGATGTCTATGATGAATTAGTGTTAGAATGTGAAGTCATGATTTCAAAACACAAAAAGATTCATTCAAAATTGAAAATTGAAATTGACTTACTTTGTAAGACTA